CTGGAGATGGTTAAAATTACACCACTCCACACAGTTGGTAATCAACTTTAAGTAATCAACTTTGGGCAATGAGTACAATAATGAGAATTGGTGTTTTTTATTACAAATTGTGTATAAATAGTAAGTGGAAAACATAATTTAATTTTAGATTTTGATCATTAGAAATATGCATATATAGATAATTATGTAAAAAATAGGCCAGATTAAATTAAGTTTTGAGTAGTGGCTTGAATAAATTTGTTGGTTACTGTACGTACTGTAAGTTGTATTGTAGCTGAATCTATTCTGCAGTATATGAAGGGTTTATTTTAATCAAAGGAAGGTTGAATCCTATAATCAGACTATGCATAATAACCTATTTTGAGTTTGTGGTATTCTGTTTTATATGGTCATATGCAGGTATTTTAATAAATAACTATTGAAGAATAATCCTCGCAGTATGAACTAATGTACACAGCAGTTACACCACATTTTAGCCTATGCATAATTGTGCATAAACAAAAAGCTAAGGTTACTAAAATTGCAATTGGGTAATAGATATGATTAAAATAACATATGTGAAAAAATCTTCACAAATAACAGTTTTTTAAACATCAGTGGTTTGAATAAAATAAAACCGAAGCAGCATCAATAAAAAAATGTCCAACATAAATGTTAAACATTTATGGACTTACTTATATGTTCCTCCAGTACATATACTTTTCCCACCAACTCTGAGCGAACTAAGTAAAGATGCAGTCATCCAGAATAAGCAAGGTACTGCTATAGGATAGTGCAGTGTCACAGACTCGAGCACGGCATCGCCTTTTTAATTTTTTTCAAATAATCTGATGCAATTTGTAGTGCTAGGTGAATCCTTAATATACTGAAGTTGTGTGTGGTTGTCAGACAAATCAGTACGATATTAAATGTTTATTTACACATTAGTGCTTTCCTGCACCGATCATACTGTATACATACCGTATTGGTGAAAATGTAAATACGATAGATAGATAATACTTTATTAATCCCATAG